AGTTGGATTCCTTGTTGGCATCCCAAAGGTAAAGACATCCTGTGTCCCTTACTGGACGTGAAAGAAAATAGGATGTACTCGCCGTAAAATCCTTTTCTTGAACTCTATTGAGGGGCTAAAGGCTGTGTTTTATGCTAAAACATTTGGTATTTTCTACAAAAATTGAGGCATGGTGGTTTTAGGAGGGCTTATCCTCTGCAATTTTTTTGTTTACTAGTGGCCAATCCTCCTGTAGGTGGTAGTATAACCCAAGGGTAAAGACCCAAGGGTCCCTTAACGGATTTTATGGTGAGTACAAAAATCCTATTTTACCACCAACGGTGACCGATTAATATCTGACAATTTGTGACCAGCATCAGTGCAATAGATGATATACCACCAGACAGCAACATCATTGCCCATTCCTTTTTGATTTCTCTATCTTATATACCGGTATATATTCATATTTTTTAAGAATTGGTAATTCCCTTTGTTAATAAAGTACACTTTCCCTCAATGTGTTTTTGTTTTTTTGAGCTTGCTTTATTATTCATGCCTGCTCTGCAGAGGAAAGCATACCAAGTTCATTTTGTTTTTCTGTTGTGATGGTTAGTCAGTTTCCTTTTCCTCTTTGGAACTGAAGCCTTGGATTGTGCTTTCCTATTTTTATACTTCTACATGTCACATTTCTATAGTAGTAGAATGTAATTTAATCTGCTTTACACATAGATTTACTCTATCCCATCTTAAACATTTTAATAGTAGAGTTTAATTTTTCACATTCTGCATAACAACAACTGCAGCTAATGATACAGTCAAGGACAGCCAAGTTTCTGTTTAATTGCAAAGGTGTATTAGGAGAAACCCATGATACTCCTAATATAGCAGCAATAAACAGAAATGTTTCTCCTGATGAGTGGCTTTTATAGCTGTGGAAATGTTCATATCAGGGATGATGATGGATGGCCTTAGGTTCCAGTTATTAGCTTTTTCACTAAAGCTTTTTAAAGCAGTGAGACATCACACAACTAATCAGAATTCACTCATCACTGACATGACTGCAGTGTAAAATGAACTCTGCTTGTTGTACACTGCTTGTTGTACACTGCACTATCAGTAGTTGCTCCAGTTTACTGAGAACCTTTTTTGGAGATTTTACTCATATAAAATTGTTTTTCTAAAACCTTACTGGTGCAAGAACACTTTTCACTTGTCTAGTTGTATACTCTTCCATATTGTTACTGTGATTTCTCTTCTGGAGGTTGCAAATGATACTTATCGCTGTGGTGCTATAGAAGAGAACAGTACCAGCAGTCAGAATAACTGAGCATGACATAGGTCGAAGTTATCTGAAAGTTTACTTACAGTGGCTAAATAATAGGTAACACGGATACTAAAGATACATTTCAGGTTAGTCAGGTGTCATGGACTCCCTTGTCCAGTTCATCTCTTTGCACAGATGGGCCAAAAACCCCCAGCATTTTTCATATGCTATATTTTTTCACATGCTAATTTTTTCTGGCTCACGCTGATCAGCTCTTATACCTTGAAGCTCTGACCCAAAACCAGTATTTGGATCAGGAGCTGCTGCATGCTTACTCCAGGCCAGTAACGTAGAAAGTATTGCATTTCAAGAATTTAAACTAAAGGAGTTGACAAGCTCTGATGGCAGCTGTTTCCATTTGCATTAGGGCTTGCTTTATTCCTCAGAGTTAAGTGCTAGATGCTTATCAGGTTTAGTTAAAGATTAAATGTATGGATAACTTATGTTTAGAGAGACACTATCATCAAAATGAAATTGGTGTTCTCTACATGTCTTTAAAAACATTCTTGCGCTTACACATGCTCCTTATGCCACTGCCTTCTGTCTTCTTAGATACATCTTGTTACTTTATTTCTTTCCCCCTACAACACTCCTACAAGTGTGTGTTAGTCTGAGGATCCCTCCCCATCTCTGATGTCGGCATGCTTTTCCACACCGCAGAAGTCGTCTTGTGCTCTGTGAAGATAGTGAAGACAGGGTTGTCAGGAGTGTGCCAGACCAGAAGAGAAAGAATGTAAACAAATCAGTCATGTTAAACCCAGCGTTCACATGACTGCTTTATTTTATGGACAAAGCTGGTGGGAAAGCTGGTGCTCACATCACAAGTGCAGGAACATTACAGAGTATCACACGAGTTACAACTCTGCAGCAGCTGGGGCCACTGCAGTCAGGAACAAGATGGCAGTGGCCAGTTGCAGTGCACAATGAAATGGCATGAGAAATTTATTGGGGATGCGGATGTTGGTAAATGGGAGATATGATTACAACATTTACAATGCTCTTTATTGGTATGATTATATATTTTTTTAAATGATTGTGAGAAGACAGTGAAGGCACTTTAAAACAAGCCACCTATTGCCCTCTGTAGCTGTAGGCATTGTAGAGAAATTCAACTTCAAATTCATAACAGGAGCACTTAAATACTGGCTCTTTTATTTTCCAGCAGAATCTTGGCAACCTGCCAGCCCTCTGATGTAAACACACAGCAGGTGTTTCTAAGCTGTAAGAAACTGATAAATCTAACTTTAGGGTCTTTTGTTGTGATAGTTGAGAGTTAATTACTTCACAGTAAAAGCAGCTAGAGAGGGCAGGGGTTGCTTGTTTTAAAGCGCGTTTAATGCTTATTAAGATAAACTGTATATAATATAGCCTCTCCATAATTTGGGCACAGGTGCTATTTATGGTTAGGGGGATGGCTAAGGGAAGGGGATAGAAGTGTACATGCGTGATCATTTTTGTAGTTGAAAGATCTGTGTTGAGAATAACTGAAAAGCAAGGTACCATCTCTTGTTCTGCAATCCTCCTGCATTGTGACAGGACTTCTTCCCTCATCTCACCTCCAGTCCCCAACCAGTCTTGCTTTTTGACTGCTCTCTGGCTTTTTTATCTCTCATGTTTTCTCTCAGGTATTTTTAGCATAGTAACACTTTGGGGAGTTTACTTATCATGTAATAAATGTATATCTATTTGTTCCCCCTACAGTAACAAAAAAGAGCTTTGGGCTGCTGGATACCGGCACTGGACCTTTCATCAGAACAAGCAGTTTTGCAGATGATGTAGACATGGAAGCAGACACTTTACTGACCCCAATAACTCATATCTCTCAGTAAGCCTGTATTCTGTAACTTTCTGGATCCTTGGGTTTCATGTATAGAAAGCGAAGAAAATGTTGTTGCCCTTACCAGGCAATCTGATATCTGCTTTGTTTTCCTAACCTGCACTAGAGAATAACAGAATATGATTTGCTGTAGATTATACCTCTAGTTTTAACCCTTTCGCTGCCAAGGACGTACGTCGTACGGAGCTACAAAAGTGCTTCCAGCTAGAAGTATATATGGTTACATTATGATGGGCATAAAACATAATTTCACATCTTATAATTGTGTCAGGCTACGGGAACACCATCGAGCAGCAATAAAAGTCATCCGTAGAATGCAGTACTTTGTGGCCAAGAAAAAATTTCAGGTGCGTTTTGTTCACATTACCGATTCTGGGTAAAAGCTAAATAAAAACTACAAAATGTTTGCAAGTAAAGGGAAGCTGTGCCCAAAGGCATATAGGGGGTCAAAGGACTAATCACCAGTATTGGCTAAAGGCTCCCTGCAACTAAACTTTTCCCATTATTGACATGCCTTGTTGTTGAAGATTTCATTAAGGGTTCAACAGAGCTACTTCAAGCTTATAAACAGCTTTACAAATGCAAGCTTGCTGTACAGCCTAGACTAGAGCCTGTGTGAACAAGGGTCTAAATGTCCTCCAGAGCTAATGAACTATAGCAGTGCATAAATGTATCCAGAGCCATAATCCTTCCCTCCTTCTCATGGCTTTTTTAAAATAGTTTATCATGTAGTTTTACAAAAGCTTGCTTTATCAGCAGCTAGTTAACTTTAGTATTTTTAACTGTAATTCCTGCTTTAAGATGATTTTACAACTTCCACTTATAGCCCGGAAAGCATTTGTCACATATTCTTATTGTTTTCATGCTTATATTTGCAGCAAGCCAGGAAACCCTATGATGTACGGGACGTCATTGAACAGTACTCACAAGGTCATCTTAATCTGATGGTCAGGATCAAGGAGCTACAGAGAAGGTGCTGTGCTAGTTTCCTATTGTTCAGTAGACATGGTCTGCATTCCTGCTTGGGTCTGCCTGATAAAGAAGAAAAAAATAAGTCACCTTTACACCAGGCTCTGACAAACAAATATTTAAGATCATTAATGTTTTCCAAAGTGAAATACAGCTGCGGTAACTTTACATTTACATTTTGTACCAGGAACCACTGATTACATTTTATCTTTGTGCCTTTTTTTTTTATTGGAGTTTGCTGATTTTTTTTTTTTTCTTGGAAAAAGGTCTCAACAGTTATGAACTGTAGCAAAATTAGTGTTGGACAAGTTGCTATTTGCAACTGCATCCAGGCCTGAATTTAACCCTGGGGGGTGTATGTACTGAGCCCAACTTTGCCTACCATTGTCAAAGTAATGGTACTGCATTTGTCCTCTTTGCAATTCCCCTCCTGCAGTTGTACTGGTCTCTAACTAAAGAGAAACTATCTGCAAAGTGTGGCTGGCCATACCCTGATAATTTTTTCTTATCCAGTCCGCTCAAATCCACCTTCTTTGGTAAAAGGTGTGGTTGGGGGTGTCTCCCCCCACAGGGCTATTGTCTGAATACCAGAACACTGGCTGCAGTCACTGTGTGGCCAATAATTTTCAGAAGGGCTCCTTTGACAAAAGTTGATTGAAACATCAATTATTGTCAGACAGAGGGATGCCAACTTGGCCATACACTGGCTGATATTTGAACAGTGTATGGCCAGCTTTAGTTTCAGTGTTCCTTATTGCTTCTCATTCATACTTTTCATGTGCATACTATTTACACTGATTACTAATTTATCCTAGATGTTCCTTATGTCATACCATGATGGCAGCTTGTATGTGCTTTTCTATGTCTTTGTGTATGATGTAATATATTCATACCAGTATTTAAAGTGTATGTAAATGCTTAATATGAATGTTTCCTGTTTGCTCCCTTTTGGTCTGTTTAACAAAATGCTTTTGATTAAATATTTATATGCTTAAGAGGTTCAAAAACATACCGGTTGATTCTTCCAAAAAGTAGTGAGCTAACAATGTTGCACTGAAATGTCAAACAGATTTGTCCTGCACAGTTTTCTCCTTGGCCCATAGAACACCTTCCCCATGCTATGAGCGGAGATCATGAGAGGGGTTCTGTTGTATTAACACACTTCCTATCCTAGGGTGACAACCCTGCTCCTCCATAGATACAGTACAGTGAATGAGTGTTGTCGCCCTAGGACAGGAAGTGTGTTTAATGGTACGGTCCCGAGGTAAATAAAAAGACATAAAAGAAAAGTAATTCAGCCACCACATCTAAAATCTGGTAATATGCAGTATACAGTAAACTCCCCATTATCCGGCATTCACAGGGACTGGTAGGTTCTGGATAAATGTAGTTTCTGGTTGCTTGATAGTTACTATTAAAAATAGGTCTAACTAATACCATACCCCATACTATACCATACCATAAACTCTGTATTGACTTAATATTATTATTGAAATACAGTAATTAAAAGCAAATTAAGATAAATAGACACACAATCATTTCCAGGATTATAAATGCCGCAGATCAGCAAAACACAGGGGATTTTTGTTTCTGGTTCGATGAGAGTTCTGGTTAGTTGAATACCGGATAACAGAGTTTACTGTATTACATTTAATACTCCCCACCCTCACCTTGCTTGTTTGTAAAATAGTGTTTATTGTAATGGGGAACGTACTTAGAAACATATCATTAGGAATCATAAGTTAGTATCTCTTATTTTGCATTTGTTACTTTTCTTTGCAGGCTTGACCAGTCATTGGGGAAGCCCTCATTGTTTCTCTCTGTGTCAGGTAATCTTTTCCTATTGAAATATTTATTACTCCAAGCAGCGCCCAGCAGGGAGGAGAGAGACTTTCAGGAGGCTGAGCGGGGCAGGGAGGAGAGCGCTATCAGCGGTGTCACAGGAGGCTCTCCTCCTGCACTGCCCACTCGGCCTCCTGTGACAGGCGAGTCAGGATGGAGAACGATATACAAACACTCAGCAATCAGATGATTGCTAAGTGTTTGTAAATAATTGAGACATAGTATGCTTACTGTCCCCAGTTATGAATGAACAGGAAGTGCTCCACGTCACTTCCTGTTCATTCCTGATTGTGGACATAGTAACTCATACTATACCCACAGTTTGAGTGGACAGGAGCACTCAGTATAGAGGATTCCTGTTCATTCATAACAGGAGCTGCAGAAAAAGAGATTGAGAACTTTGTGTCCTCAATCCCTTTTTCTATTTCAAAAGGGAAATTTCAGTGGTCTGTAAAGACCCCTGATATTTCCCCCATCCCCCCCCCCATCCCTGACTAAAAAGTAAAACAAAAAAAATACAATAAAAAATAATTTTTAAAAGGTTAGAAAAAAAGTTTCAGTTTCGGCGTGACAATTTTTTTTTTTGTCTGAAAATTCCATTTCGGTGCACTTCTACTGAAAACAGTATGTTTGTTTGAATTTGGGTTGGGGAAAATGGTAAACATTCCTAATAAAAGCTAATTTATCCGCACTGCCTTGATGAAAATGAGGGTAAAGTTGGTCAGAGCAGCTTTACAAATGTAGTGAAACCGTTGGAAATATCTATCACCACAAAAGGAACTAGTTTGTTTGTATTTGCATATGGATATGTGAATGTTATTTTGGCATACGAAGTATGAGGATAGGCTTACTTGAAGCAGCAAATTTAACCAGTGAAGGACATGGGGCATATGGCTCCCTAAATGTTTGCAGTACACATGGCATACACCATATTCCTTGTCATGCTTCTGAACATGGTCCAAATACAGTTTAGAAGCTTAAATAAAATATGTAATGTAACAACATTGTTGCATGATATGTACTCCTGTTTCAAAGTATATGTTTCTTTGTCCAATCGGGGACATAGGAATATTGACATTGTATTACATTCAGGTTATATTGTTGAATGTTTCAAAGTATATGTTCTCTTTCCTTCTCACCAATAAAACCTTTTAATTTTCATTACATATCATATTTCTTTGTCCAATCGGGGACATAGGAATATTGACATTGTATTACATTCAGGTTATATTGTTGGTTGGGACACTGGCAAGCAAAAAAACTTTGAAGGGTAGTCCCTGTATAACCAGTCCTGTACCCAGCATGCTTTGCTATCCTTTTTTGATACTTTTTCTTCATTGATTGACTTTCAATATCCATGATATACTGCTGATCGTTTTGCCTCAGTGACTTCACTCAAGAATTCCACACTGCTACTTGAACTAGTCTCTAAATAGCAAATATCTAGACCTGTGTACCCTCTGCAACAGCTTTGGAGGACATACCCCGGCCCTGCTGGAAAAAAGATTGCGGGGCTGGCCTGGAGTGTGACCTTGGAGCACTGGACTCTGCATTGTGGTGCTTTCCAGACCTGTGCGTACAGTGTTTTTAGCCGCAGAGCACTTACTGACTCCAGAGCTGTAGCACATCCTGTGGTGTGACCCAATCGCTGAAGACTCTCATACTGAGACTGGTTGTGATGAAGGATTGTGAGTTTATCTAACAGTTTGTACTATTTTCACAATTCCCACCACCTCCATCTTACTACAATAACCGTTAGGGACGAGAGAACTGAATATGAACATCATCCTTGAGGTGGAGTGTTTGTACACACTTTTCTCCTGATATTCAGCCTAGAGAAACCATCCCACTGCTGCTTCTGAAGCACCAACTAAATATCAGGAGAAAAGTGTGCAACATTTTGTCATCTTACTACAAGATTGGTTGCCTGGCTGCACAGCTCCTTCCCTATTATGGAACCTCTTACCTTGCTTCTATAGTAAAGAATACAAGGCTTGGACCTTCTGTCTTTGTTTTGATCAGCTGGTATTTACTGGACTTATCTTGTCCAAGATTCCCTTAAGGGATTAAGGAGTTCTTTACAGTGTGGTTTTTTTTTTGTTTTTGTTTTTTAAAGTATGCTGCTTCAGATTATTTGTTTGGTCCCTGGCTCTCCCCTTGGTTGTTCTCTGCCTTTGCAGAGTGTTCTTCCCCATTTAGTTGGTTCCTTCAGATACCTCTGACGTGCGATAGTCCTATTTGTTGATGTTGCCCATCCCTCAGTTGGACTGGTTTTGGATATCCCTGTGGATGATTAAGGGAATAACATTTTTATACTTGCTATAAAATCTTTTTCTTTGAGTCAATTAAGGAACACGGGTGCCTCCGCTTTTGTTTTTGGCCCTATGTACTGCTTCCTTACATAACTGAGGCCTGCTTGGTAGAGAAGGGGTTTTATAGAGGGCTGACCTAACTAACTGTTTTTTGTTTTTTGGTGTCCCAGCCTCCTGTAGGCAGTAGAATAACCCGACTGTAATACAATTTCTAAATTCCTGCATCCCTCAATTGACTTGAAGAAACATATTTTTTACAATAAGTACAACAATCTTATTTTTAGACCCAGTGACCTCATTATTGGTTCTCTGTGTTTCATGTTGCTGTATATAGCTCCCTGAAAACATCACAACGCCCTACCTTGGTACTCGTCTCAAGAGCTCTCGGTCCTGATGCAAATAGTGGAATGGCCCTTGGGAGGAGTTTTGCAAATATCAAAACTCCTTCATGGGCAGAAGCTTGTCTAGGGCTGTAGGTGTATCTCTGCAGACTTCATTTGCATGCCCTAGGTAAAGCCTACGTGTGGAAGACAGAACTGAAGGACAGTCAGGCTGGGGAGGAAAGACTTAGATGATTCTGGACATCATCCAGGAAATATGGTATGATCTACGTGATTTGTTGTGGTTTCCAATGCACACTGTAAGAAACTTTTCACCACATCAAAAGAAAGCCTTGTTTACTTTCCCCTCTCAAAAAAATGCATTTCTTTATCTTAAGTAACAGCAAAGTTATCGCAGAAATGTAAAAATTGCTTTGGTCCATAAGGGGGTGTACAGGTGCAAGAGCTAAAGTAGGTAAATTATAATATCTCTACCCAGACAATGTCATGTGACCTCTTCTTTACTATTTGTACATTTTAAGCAAACAAATTGCAGAATGTAATCTGGTTTGAGTTACAAATCTGTTTTATATACAGGCAGTCCCCGAGTTACATACATCCGACTTACATCCGACTCCTACGTACAAACGGAGGCTATTACTGTACAGCAGGGGTAGTTGTAATGCTACCACGCTCGTGCTGACGAGTAGTGCCCGCCTTTTTGGCTCTGGTTTGTAGTACTGTATGTACATTACAGGAAGTTGGCTCTTGTTAGACATGCAGACGAGGGGTGCCCACCTCTTCTTCCGGGTCACTGGGAGGTTTTTACTGCTGTCTGTATCCCCAATAGAAAGATTTTATCTCACGTCTTGTCCTTGAGACAACAGGAAGTGAAAGGAAATCTACCCCTAGGAAGGGAAATTCACTCCTGTAAGGGTGATCATTGCAAAAAGGTGTCTCCACTGAAGCTTTATCACCAATTCTTGTTTCCACAACAACCCAAAATTTTCAAAAAACACATCAAAACAAACTTTACAGGGGTTAACCCTTCCCTATGCTATCCAAAACAAACAAAAAAATACATTTTGGCTGGAGTACCACTTTACATTTTTTTACCTGTTCCAACATGCATACAAATTCAACATAAGAACAAACCTACAGTCCCTATCTTGTTCATAACTCGGGGACTCCCTTTACAATAATTGAATGCATTTGTACAGTTTAAAATGCAAATTGAATCTTTAACATGTTTCTGTTCTCTCCAGATAAAGTGAAAGATCGCGGTACTAATACTATTGGATCAAGATTAAACCGTGTAGAAGATAAGGTAAACCCCTTACCCCCTAACACACACTCTTTGATGAAGAAAAGTAAAATGGATTATATATCAAGGATATATAGCATCCAGAAGTGATGCTGCAAAACCAGCATTTTTTCTGTACAGAAAGTTTATAAGAAAGTACAGAAGTTTATGATTACACAGAAGACAAAGGACAAATACCTATATATAAGATTACAATTATTCTGTTGCAATTAATAGTCACAATTGCGCAATAAATGACATGTTATATGACCACAAATTTTAATTTAAGTAAGATTATCAATATCCAATTTCACACATGCATCTGGTCAATGTGTTTCGTCGATTTTTACACGGCTTCAGGACCACCAGTGGTCTAGTAGTAAATGGATAACGTCATAGCTACATGTATAGAATCCCATAGAGAGAGGGGTATGCAGGGGTTTGCTGGGGGGGATGATCCTCCTTACCACCAACTTATGTTATGAAATTCGTTGTCCTGGACTCTACCCCAGCTGAAATTTAATAAGCTATCCTTCTCTCTGCATGAAGAATTATAGCCAGACAGCCCATTCACCCTGTTTGCAGGAACTCAGAGTAGCATGGTAAATTCTCCAGATGCTACCAGGCTGGGCAGCAGAAACTATAATAAAAGTACATTTTTTGTAAGCCAATCTATAGGCTCTTTTGATCAGGTGGTGGAACAGAATAGAGGAAAAGCAAAAAAACACCGGTGCCAGCACCTGCGACTTGTATGCACACAAACTAGTAACACTAGTGATGCAGCTCCCACTGGTCAGGGCAACCGACAAACTGGAAAACATAAAGCAAAAAGGAGCGCCTCCATAGTGTAAAACAGTATTTAATCAAAAAGAAGGCACAGGGCTCAGGCTGTACTTTCAAACAACTGTAGAACACAGGCATTTAAGAAGGATGGGTAAACGAAATCACGAACAAAGACGAGCTGGAGTATTGATGTTAAACCAGAGTCTTCTGCCCCCAAGCATTCCACGGGTTTACATGTTTCGGGAGCAACGCCCCCTTCACCAGAACCTGAAGACTTTGGTTTAACATCAATAATCCAGCTCCTCTTTGTTCGTGATTTAGTTTACCCATCCTTGTTACATGCCTGTGTTCTATAGTTGTTTGTATGTACAGCCCTAGCTGTGTGCCTTCTTTTTATTAAATGCTGTTTTACACTATGGAGGCCCTCCTTTTTACTTTGTTTTCCAGGTGGAACAGAATGTTTAAGGTCAGTAATTATATTTTCTGTTGGCGTTTGATTGTGACTGGTGGTGGGTGGTCAATGTGCATTATCTATAACTATGACTCGACTGTAGTGGTGGTGCTGAGGCTATCAAATGTAAATATCTATACTAGTGCTCTGTGTTGTTTTGACACCTGAGGATCAAAACATTGTGTATAGGCATCTCATTTAATAATCCGTGTACAGAGTGTTACAATTTTGCACATTGCAGTTAGCTGCAGTAAACTTATTTTTTCCCCAATATTTGCCAAATAACCCCTGGGTAGTAATAAATAGGCTTGTGCTTGCCCCCTTAGCATTTTCTTAATCAATTTATACAGAAACATTTTTCCAGTTTTGTTATGTGTAGCTTCGGGTTGGGGGAAAAAAAAGGAACACATTTAAAAGAAAACCTTATTTTATACATAAACCACGTTACCATATTTTGTGCCATAAACACATGATAAATGGGACAAATGTTATACCTAGTATCTTCAGTAACACTTAGGTTGTAAAGGAAAAATCAATTTAGTCTTTAAAATATTTAAAAATAAGTCCATGTATATCCCCCAAAAAACAATAAATGTATCATGTTGTTCTAACCTTGACAGGGTTACTGCTGAGTCAGTAGCGTTGTAACTGAAAGTAAAAAATTGCTGTTAATCTCTATGGGGTTAGTAGGTGTGATAACTTTTGTTGTCTTATATCTCGTGAGATTGCAATGTTAAACATGTTTTTGTCTTTTTAGGTAACCCAGATGGACCATAAACTGAATCTCATATCTGACATGCTTCAGCATCTCGTTTCCAACCAACAGGGAGGTCAACCAACAAGCCGATCACCTCACAGAAGCAATTCCCTAAATAATGCAAATAACCTGTCAAGCAGCACCCTTCCCACCTATGAGCAGTTAACTGTGCCAAGAGGAGCCCAGGATAATAATTCTTGACAAACAGGTGGAGGAGCAGATTGACAATGGTTACCATATAAACTGGTTTACTGCTGTACTCCATGCAGGAATTCGTTATTTTAATAAACGCATTTTAAATGCAAAGGATCAAATGAATGATATAATTAGACTGACTCGCTGCTATCTATAGGTATGCAATACTGGAAAGGATGCTCAGCTAACCTTTTGCAGAATGGGTTAGGTTTTGTTGATGGCCGCTCGATGGGAAGAGCAAACTCTGGATATGTAGTAGATGCGATTTTAAGTGTAAGGAAGCAGCAAAGTATACTCAGCTTATTCTCTCATTGATGATTATGACTAACTTATTAAGTGGCCATATAGAACTTTGGTCTTGCGGAAAAAGTATCGGTGTCAGAATGGAGCAAACACTATTTTTATGTTTTGTTTTTTTATGTAGCTGCACAGTTATAGAGTGACTCCACCCATGGAATTGGTGGGTGGGAAACAGGGATTTGATTGGTTCCTGGGACATCAATGGATGAGGAGATGACTCCATGTCTTTGGCATACCCTCTGCAATCTGAGCACAGATATTGAGTTGAGCTACCATTGTTACTGGTCTAAAAAAAAATTCCACCTCTTCCTAGGAAGAACATACCAGAAGACAGGTAATACTTTTCTGTATCTTGAGCACTCCAGTGGATTTCCATAGCGATAAAAACAAAATCACTTTGGCTGGTGACGCGAGTATCTCGGCTTGTAAATTGTAGAGATCTGGTGGGGACAAAACCCTTCCCTATTTCCATCAAAATAAAAGAAATGCATTTTGGATAGATCTGCCTTTTACAGAACTCGAAAACCAAACTTTACCTTTTATATAAAAGAGCCAATGGTATTCACAATGTCAATGTAAAGGGCTGAAAGAGGCTGACAAGGTTCTGTCTGACCGAGTACCTGAGAGGGGTGGCTGGACAGGAACAGCTAAATGTATAATGTCACTGTAAGGTGCCATTTTTAACTCTAACTTACTATTGGGGGTATGGGGCACATGAGTACAGTTTCCTCTCTCCCACTGTCTGATGCCAGGCTGCAGTGCTTGCCTAGCTGAGTGCAAGTTTTGACTCTCTGAAACTTTAAATTCACATGAAAATTCTAAGGGTTCTTTCAGTAGGGAGTAGGGAGTGAGATAAAGGTAAAAGCAGGTATCATAGCTGTGCCACGGTTTCATTTTGTTTTCTCTTTTGCCCAAGAAGGTCAGTTTATTTTTCTTTTATATAATTGAAGTGGCATTTTAGGCTTACTGACTCTTTGATTTTTACCAGCAGACATGGCCTTTTGAGAAGGATAGATATTATGGGTATAGCTGGGTTATGAGTAGAATTCTTGTTAGAATTTGTGTTACTTTTATTTCTTTTTTGATTTTTACCTTTTTTGTAGCATAAACTAGCAAAGGTGTGTCCAGTTAAAGTGGTAAGAGCATCAGTGGTGGTGGGTTTGCAGGTGCGGTAGTTAGAACAGACAGAGGAGGAGGAGGATGATGAGTTTGAGTGGCAGTGTGTATGCTCAATGGTTGAGTGAAAGTGTAATGTGAGAATGAAACTTCTAACTTGTCTTTTGTAATATTATGAATGTATTAGACGTTCCACAACAAAATACTTTTTTCTTATGTAATTTTTAGTACACCAACACACACCTACTGGGATTATAATTCTGTCCTATTTTGAGATTGTGTCTACACCAAATAGCTGCAAAGCCGATCAAAGCAATTGAAAAGTGTCAGAAACTCTACTTTAAGAGGCCACTGCTCCACATCTTCTCCTTACAAATTATAATACTATACTTTACCAGTATAATTGAAGGAAGACTCTCAAATTTGAATCTGTATTCATTTTAAATACCCCACACCTAATACAGAGAGAAAACACATGTTTTCTTCACATACTGGATAGCCTCCTGGGAACCCTTAAGTCACCTTTGGGTTTTCCTACCACATCCCTACTGGCTGATTACAAATTTCTTCACTGACCAGAAGTGCATACAATGGGCAGAAAGGAAGCACAACTTCTGGAGCTATTGTCATATTAGTGTTTTCTCCAAGGTTTGGGGCACCTGCGGACCTCTGGAAAGTAGGGAAATATATTTGCAGGCACTGCCAAATATATGTTTATAGGCCCCTTCACGCTGTCCATCTCCAATGTGGTGCAGTATTTTGTGCATTACCATGCATTTAATTTCAAATTGGCTGCCAAAGCACCTCAATGGATGAGAAATGTCCCTGCACCTTTTTATAACACATGTAGTTGTGCTCTGTAGCGAGGGTGCATTGCCTGCTACTATACTTGTGCATTGGGGTACTACTCTAAATGAATGGCAGTGCAACACACAGTGCTGTTCATTGTAGTAATGCACATGATAGAGCACTGCATAAGTGTGAAAGCCAGCCTCAATGTGAATGTAGGTTCACTTTAAATGTTTGATTATAGGGTAACGTAAGTGCAGGGCCCCCTACTTTGGTATTAACCATCCTCCCATACCAGAGTAAAAACAAAACACACCAGTAAAAAATTAAAAGGATTACATACCTTGGACCCTGAGCTCCTGAAAGGTTCAGCAAGGCATTTTGGTGGGATTTGGTATCCCCGATTTTCCCAGGTTCGCGCAAGAATGTGGAGGGCAGCACTGGAATGTGGAGAGGGTTGGTAGTGCTAGGGCACTTTTTTTTTTTTTTTTTTTTAAGGGTAGGGGGCCATT